TGTGTGTGTGTGTGTGTGTGTGTGTGTGTGTGTGTGTGTGTGTGTCTGTGTGCGTGCGTACGTGCTCGAATTTAGTATCTGCTGTTGATGCAACCTTTCTTTTAATGCAATTCAATCCTCAGAACAAGCGTGATTATAATTTCAGATATAATGCCACTCTGCAGAACGAGAAATTCCCAACATTGTCAATGATCGTTAATAAAGCGACAATATCTTTTTTTTCCAAGTATACTTGAATTCGTTTCTGCAAAGAGGCTTACAATAGAATTACATATAGTAATATAATAATTACACATAATATCTGTTTTATTAAATACCTGATGAAAGAAATATTTCTAAATATAATTTTTACTTTTTAATTGCCAACTTTAACACATTTAGAATTAGTAACTTTTTTAAAAATTAGAACTTATGGTACGTATAACCGCAAAAGGCAAGCTACGATGTATAAATGTGAAGGATAAAAATTCCAAACACAAAATCTGAAGGATCTATTCAAATATATTCTATGCATCGAACAGAAAATACACTAACATTGGCTACGTCCAGCAGAACGTTTATTTTGCAAGCGTTGGAAGTTTTCTATGCTAAGATCGAATTATTCCGGTAGATTTAAAAGAATAATCCAATTTCAACCCAAAAAATTTCCAACAGCTGTAAAATAAACGTTCTGATGAGTGCAACCACTGAAATAAGATACTAGCTAAAACTCGACAACGTAAAAATCAAACTAAAGCGAAAAAGTACAAGCTCGAGTCTCTCTCGCTGGGAGATCAAATCCTGAAGGTAGGGTGGACTGTGGGTTCTCCTGTTTGATCCTTTCGTTGGAAATGTTCTTTCTGAACGTTGCGCGACGTTTCTTCTATGTTGTCCATGTGCTTTTTTCCATTCCATTGTCTATTCCGCATGCTCGAGTAAAGGATGCTTCGCGTCGTTCCTCGTGAGGGGCATTTAATCGGCGAATGAGGATGGATATTCTCTGTTCGGTCCGTTTGCGTTCATTCATCGCTGGGAGATCTCTGCTTGTATCTCTGTGGGAACCAGGTACGACTTTCGTGTCGTGGACTTGGTAGTGCGCCTGTATAATGCCGTTCCTTCTTGCACGAGAACGAGAGAGCACAGAGACGACTCCATATTCTCCGGGACACTTCGGTGGCGGTGGTAGTAGTTTCTGTGATTCGTGCCGATGCCTCTCGAGGTCCGAGCGCAAGTGTTTCCACGTCGGTGGTGATAGAAAGAAAGAAACTAAAGAAAATACACCTATTGGCGCATGCCACTGTAAAAGTGAACTCCCGCGACACCTGTGTACACCTAACCTAACACCTTGAAAATTTTCCGCTTGCTTTTAAATGGCAGTTCTGCAATGAGATGTAATTGCTTTGCATAAAGAAAAGTTGGCCTCTATAAAAGAAAGTCAAACACGGAAGAGGCAGTCCATCAGTGAACGTCACGAGTTATCAGTTTTGCAAAGAGTGAAAAGAAAGCGGACATTGGTGAACGTTGACACGCGTATATACCGTGAGATTTACAACCGGGTTAATATATGCATATCTAATTTCGAGCACTGGAATAATATCATTAAAGGAAGTATCTCCGGTACTGGATTCACTTATTAGTCGCTAGTCTGAATTAGCGTGCACGGCTCCAGGTTACGTAAGACATCTCAACGGTTCGACACATACGCAACGACACCTGAGCTATGGTGCACAGTATTAAGAATAATGAGATATATAAAATAGATATATATAACTATATATAAATATATAGTATATACATATGTAAACACAAGCATGTTTAAGTGTATATAGTTATAGTAGAGATATGTGTATATCTAAGAGTACACTCGGTTAAGGTGACGCATTTACCTTGGGCCCAGGCACCACCTTGTTTACGGACAGAGAGAAAGGCCAGGCACACGGCGCTTGGTCGGGTCGAACGGATTCTGTGTGGCGTAGTCGCGGATGGTTCGGGTATCGGCCCGCGTATGCGCCTTCTCATGGGTGGCCGCTGCCTGACTTACTAGATGGCTAGGTCGGTGGCGTACCAGTAGCAGTGACAGTCACGGTGAAGTGATGGGTGGTGGCGGATGTGGCGGGTTGTGACGATGGTTGATGAAAGTGAAGGTACTAATTGTGATGATGTCGATTTTGTAACAGGGGTTAAGATTGGAGGTAGTAGTGAAGAAGAAGAAGATGATGATGATAAAAATGGTAATGACAGGTGACGATGGTGGTAGTGTGATGATGACAACGACGATGGTGATGTATCAATGACGATGAGTATCGGTAAACACGATTATCTCTCCCAGGCGAACAAAGTAGTAGGCGGTGAGAGTTGTATTGGTAGCGTAGATCGAGATTCTCTCTCTCGCTCTCTCTTTCTCCCCCTCTCTCTCTCTCTCTCTCTCTTTCTCTCTCCCGGTTTCTTTGTTTCACTTTTTTCCCCCAGTGATTACGATGAGAGGATCGGGCCGTGCGCACGACAACCTATCACTGGGATTTCACCACGTATCACTGCGCGCGAGTAGTCGATAGCAGGTGGTAGATAGGTGGTGTGGTAGGTGTACACCCCAGCGCCAACGCGGCTCTCTCTCTCACCCCGGACACCTCAGAAACCAACCTGGTGCCACTTGACCTCAAGGCGGGCCCATCGCGTGCATCGTCATCTCTTTATCATCGTACATCGTCTATCGGCCCTACCGGTCGCCCCTCCTCGGCGAAGAGGATATGACTCTTCGGAAAGAACATCAATTTTATTTCGTTTTTTCTTAAACTGCTGCTCGCGCGAACGTAAATGAAATAATAAATTGAAAAAGTAACGTCGGAGGATAATCGAGACTCGACCGGGAGTGAAAAATGTATCATCGTCAAACGGCAACAACAACCAATCATTCGAAAAGAGTGCAACGATAGATATATAGATTATTATATGCAATATACACAAATATATATATGTATATATATATCCGCAATGTAAATTGATCAAGTAAGACTTGGTCCACAACGAGGTAGTCTCTGTGTGTTAGGTTCTCGATTCGTCGGCTCGAGTACCTCTGGGTATCTTTTTTTCGTTTCGCTTTCCTCTATTGCGTCCTGGTATTTCCCACATTGTTAACATTTATCCGTTATTGCCTTGTCTCTATCTTCTCTGTAGTCTCATCATTTCCACTATCCGTCGCTTCGTTTCTTTCGCTTTGCACCTCTCTTTGTCCACAACGTCCGGTCGCGGTTTTCCTCTCGTTGTGTTGGCTTCATCACGGGTCGTCGTTGTTACTCCAAGTTCCTCTCGCATGTCCCTCGTGCTCTCGTATCCGGGAATGGTGATGCGTGATTATGCGTCGCATAACGTATTCTTGTATGTCCTCATCATCATACACGCTTTCGTGCTTTTCTTTCTCTCCGTTTTCTTTTCATAGAAAGCGACTTTTGCACATATACGGAAATTGGATTTCGACTTTGCCACAGACTTACTTGATCAAAATGTTACATCTTTCGACTACAAAACAGGGATCTCTTTATGAGTAAATGAACGTAAAATGAGACGAAAGAGAATCGAACAACAAAGGCAAAGAAATCGTTAAAGAATGCTACCGCGTGTAGCGTGGGTGCGCGAGCGTGCGCGTAAATTTGGCCACGGAGAAATCGCGAAAACCCGTTAAAAAACTTAGCGAGTCGCGACAGATTCGACAAAATCCATCAAAGCGGTGCAACAACGTTCTCTCTCTGGAACCTCGACTGGTAATCAAACTCACTAAGACACGAAATCGGTAAAAATGCAAAAGAAAAAAAAAGGAAGCGAATTACGTATGCCGCTTACCTGCCAACTGACACGGCTTGAAAGATTCTCCACAGTCAGGCGGTACTCTGTACGTGTCGGTGGTCCGTATCTAGAATGGGAAAAAATCCGACTATTATCCTCATGCATGTCTCGAAATCAAGCAGGTTTGTCTTGGACCTGACTTTACGTTAAAGTAGTAGCGAAAGAAAGAATGATAAAACGCAAGACTCTGATATAATTCAAAATTACAACAACAACAATAACAACAACGACAACAAAGTTGTATGTAAGTAAAGTTTTTAATCGTTAGAGCGTAACATTGGATGTATGTACCTGGGCAATGATTGCTTGTAGCTAGATGCAGTCCTCGTGTTTCTGTTCACACTATCTCTGCAAAAAGGGATGTCATGTGAACAGAAATAACGGATCGTCGGTTAAACCTTCAGCAAATAACTACAGATCTGCACTCATTGCTCAGGCACACAATCAATCACCTGTTCCAATCGAATCAAATCTATTCAAAATGCAGCAATAGCGTACCTGTCGTGCCGCATATCGTCTCGGCTGTAACAAACACAATACCACACATCTATTAGTCGCCAATTACATCGCTCAATATATCTCAACTACCAGCAATAAACATAATGTCTGGGAGGGTGTATCGCTAGGCGTTATCACTATCAATTTTAATGATTATTAATTGACGTGGCTCGACTCTCTGACAAACACGACGTACGATTCGAGACTTACTCGGGAGAGCAGTCAAATCCAAGACAACCAATTAAGCGAAAGTAACATACGTCTCTTTATTAACGTTTTCGTATACACTAGCGCAAGTGAAGCTTGCAACGCGAAATTTTCATTACTCATCTCACTACGCTCTCTACACTAGAGCTTATCATATCCAAGGTTACGTTCTTCCCTGAGCGGACGATGTGCGAAATCGATCGCTTCGAATAAAAGGAAAATGAATAATCAAGGAGAAATAACGGCGAGCAAAATTGAAAGAAACAAACGGAAAAGAATAGGGGGAAAACGGAACAAAAGAATATATATATATATATATATATATATATATATANTATATATATATATATATAAAACAAAAAGGAAGGCATTGGAAAGAACGGTAGGTAATCATGTGAATGAATAAATAAACAAGTGAATCGAACGTTTGGATTTCGCACATCCCGAGCCGACTGCCTGCAGGGGAGGAGGGGATAATGATCGCTCTGATAAAATAAAAAAAAGGATAGCGTGTCTTACGCAGATCGCCTCGAGTCCCCATAACCACCACGGGAGTCACCATAGCGCCACTGGTCACTACCCCTAGGTGTCCCCCGGGCCCTCTCTACAGTAATTCTGTAACAAGACACATTGGATATGCTTACTTGTCTCTCCAGGAGCGTGAGCGTCCGTAGCCACGGTCGCCTCGCCTCCCTGAAACACCCCGTGCTATCTCCACCGCCACTCTGAAACACACCCAACAAAACCCCGCCTAAGTCCTCGACTAATTCTTACTCTAATGCTGCTTCCTTCCTTTTCCTTCCATTCCTCAGCCTCCTCCCGAAATCCGTTCAAATATCATCTGTTCTCTCTCTCTTTCTCAGAATCTCTATCGTCCGGTCTCTCTTTCGCTTTCTGAGGCGCTGTCCCCTATCACTTTCTTTCACTCCCTCAGTCACGATTCGTCCTCGTTCCCTATGTATTCTAGATGCCTCTTTTACAACGTTACTTATAACCGAGCTAATCTTTTTTCATTACGTCTATCAGCTTTTTCGTAACTTGATCCGTGATCCCTTATGATTTTATTTGAAAGTTCCTATTTTCTCGTTTAATTACCCTTTTTTTTCGTTTTCTCTCTTCGTTTACTTTAAAAGTTCATTACTAGGCGGGTAATACAGAATCACGTGATCAAATTAAGAAAAAACACATGTATCGAATGCCCTTCCATAATAAAAGAAGCAATATACATTTCGCCAGACACATTGTTACATTTACTTTGACGATTGTTCTTTAATCGGGGAATTGATGGAAGTAGTTCAAAATGGCGGTAAGTCGCAACGGCTCTTTAAGGACACACGTTTTTTGTTACGATAAAGGTCCGATCGTTAATTTGGAGGACAGACGCCGTTTACTAAAAACGCAAAATTAACAGCATTAACGGAGCACCCGTTCAATGCCAACAAATACTTGTGCATTGTACATTTGTCTTTAATTATATATAGAAGCAACAGCGAATAATATTACTGGTACAGGTTGAAACATAATGCGATTAGAGCGCTGAGAATAATTTCGTTCGATCACATTTCGTCAGCATTGTTCAGAAAATTGTGAATATTACCGACACACTTACATAAATTCCCAAAAGACAGAGGAAAAGAGAGATAAACACTATGAAAGAAAAAAAAAACTTGTTCAAAAATTTCTACAGATGTTTCAAACATTTTGCACAGATTGAACTCTTCGTCTTATTTCAATGCTATTGCTTCTCACATATCGATCTATTAGAGACATAGTCATTTGAAGTAACGTAAAGTCGACATTGAACTGTGTTTACTTAAGATAACACAAGAGATAGAAATAAGGTTATATAATATAGGAGAATATTACATATACAATTTTATGATAAATATCGTATAAGAACGCCGCTGAAAAAAGAACTGTTATATAAATTAACTATATTAAAATATATTAGACACTTTGGTAAGTAACTTTCGTTAATCTTAGCAGCAAGTTAATCATATAAGCTGAACTGTTTTTCCTTATTTCTTGCCCCTTTACAGAAATAAAAAAAGTCCTCTAGAGCTTGCTACTGATAACAGAATCGGGTCAGAACATTGATCATTGCACAACCGATTTAGTTACTTTTGTTTATCATTATTTAATGCTGATATCAGACAGTTACTTTATGAATGGTATTTCAACAAATTTTTCTTTTATAGGAAGGAACTACATCTAATGTGTAAAAAACTATTAGTTCATTTGGATAAATTTAATCGATTCTATGTTAGCATAATGAATCATGATGCATAGAAACTCGTTTGCTCTTAAGCAGAGTGTGCCCCCAGTACCAATAATATTATCATTATTATAAAGTTCAAACAGCATGATCGAAGTAACCAATCCACATACTAAATGGATTGTATATAAGAACTATTCAGTCATGCAGAAAACATGCTACCTATACCATTCCGTCATACGCCTAATGTAATCGCCTAGTACATGTATGTTTCAAAGAACACATACATTATGTAAGACAGAATCGCATTACCTTTCCCCTAGAAGTTCCTTCCCATTTAGTTCGTATACAGCATCGTCGGCGTCTCTATAGTCGTCGAATTCCTGCAAAGAGAATGTTTCTGTTATCATTTAGGAATGAAATGTAATTTCGTTAATTAGTTTTTTATTGCTTAAGCTAATTCTACGGCAATAAAAACTTTTAAGAATAATGTCCGATACATGTATAATCATAATTTTTACAGAAAATCCGGTAATTTTGAATATTAATCAGTATGTAATATGTTGTTGACAAATTTTGTTTAAGATTGTTATAGATATTATTGAGTTATTTATAAAGTGTACTTTTTTAAAAAATGTTAATGGTGTTAATAAGATTTACTGAACTCTACACTATACTGGAATGCTAGATCAAATGGAAGAAAACGGCACGTATGAGACAGAAAATAAATACAAATTCTATCTTTTTCTAATGTCATATTATTTCGTATTTAGTTGAAAATTCAGTTTTTCAAAGTATTTCGTAACCTACGTAATTGATAAAAATATAATATTATTGAAAAGGAAAAACAACAGGATAAACAAAAAATGGTAAAATTCTGTGTCATAAAAAATGGTAAAAACTGAATAATATGGCTTGAATATTACTTTTCACAAATTAGTACATTTGGATGTTTCTAGGAAAGAACAAAAAGAACAAAAAATCGCTGACTAGCTGATCCGAGATCATTAGAAAAATCTGGTACTTAATCTACCTATCCTTTATGTCTCCATGGCTGGTTTCTTAACACAGAACCTAACATTCTAATACAATAAAGAGGGTCATTGATAGGATAGATTTCATTAATGACAATAACAAGGTTTAAATATATTCGCAATTTTCTAGGATCATTTTAGGTAGGCATTTTCTTCGCTTGTATCCTGCAAAAGTTTTAAGATAGATAGAATATATTACCATTTAATCTATAACAAATATATATATATATATATATGTAAAAATTGTATATCCAGCAATATCGCAAAGTGCAAAAGACTTGAATCGATATAGGTGCTTGAGTTATTGATAGAGATAATTATTCTGAAACATATGGGCCTCATTGTAAATAATTCCTTTCCCCTGGTCATACATAACTTACAAATTTTTGCAGAATAATCGACGAATAAGCAGCACACAGCTCCTCTAAACAGCCACAGCCAATGTGCTCAGGGCTCGGGCCAGGTCAACTCAGGTAATCGAGTTACGTTTGCGATTTTAACACATTGCAGCCTACCCATTTCGGTCCAAATCATGATAGTAAAAACAAATGGACTATTCTTTCAAGTATGAGATTTGTCAACTTGACGACTGTCTTGTTATATCAATATGAAGGCTTGCAGTGCCAAATACAATTTATGATAATAAAACGTGGCAAAAAAAGTTTTATTTATGCACATGCACTTCATGTGTCTATGCATATGCTTTTATATATATAAAAAAAAAAATATTTCCAAAAGCACTGTAACGATAAAACAAAGCTAAGGAAGTATTGCAATTTGTTTCAGCACTTAATTCTAGGAGTACATTGGTTACAGACAGCTGTTGTTGAAACTAAGAATTTGCAAGCAGTGTTAAGCTCTGAACTAATCAAGTTATCATGGGACCAAATTGAGCAATGCGAAGTGTTATTGTGGGTTTATTTACAACTGATTATAAATACTTACAACAAAGCCGTAACCATTCTTGATGAGTACATCACGGAAACGACCGTAGCCTCTGAAAAATCTCTCAAGGTCTCTTTCCCTGGTCCCATACGGAAGCCCACCGACATAGACTCTTGTCCCTACCATACTGTAAAAAAACAATTAAACCACATTAGACTTACCACAAAGGCAAATCCATTCTTCATAGCGACCTCCTTGATTCTACCATATTTCCGGAAGAACTTCTCGAGATCGCGCTCTCTCACCCGGTATGTTAATCCACCAACGAATACTCGGGTGCTCATTCTTAAAGGAAAATATAAAAACACCTTACATAACGGGCTACCTAAGGAATCCGCCGCTTAGTCACAACATAAAAGAATCGTGAGCTTATGAGAATCTAACTGAGACGTAAATGAATTGGAATTTATTTGAAAACGAACAGCGGTCTAATGGCATTTGTGTAATATAAATGCTCCGTCGAATAAGAAACTGAAAGATAACTCACAGAGAAGAATATACTTTGTTTATAATAATAATAATAAATATATTTATAATACCGCTCGATAATGCAAGTATTTAAGAGTACGCACTGTATAATACAGTCGTCGCAATATTAGAGTTTCCGAATAGCATATAAATATAAAGAAAGCATCGTTAATTACCCGCTTTATGTTTGGAAGATGAAACAAAGCGCACGAAGTACTCAGATGCTCAACAATACGTGGGAAAAGCGTCACATGAGACGCGTCCGTCCTGAAACGCGCAGTAACCGCCTCATCGAACGACCTTTACGCGCGCCGTAGAACGGTCGATATACACAAAGCTGTCGTGTGTGCGCGATAATTCCAAAGAAAGAGAGAGAAAAAAATGAAGCGAAAGCTATCGCTGCACTGTGTGAAGCAACAAATGAGGACGCCGGACCAGAATTCCAGAATTTTCGATGGCGTCGGGGATCGGCGATCGATACGAGAGAGCACGTCGATTAACTGCGTCGCGAAGCGTAATGGCCGCGGCGGCGAGTGACTCGCGTTTCTACCCGCAGATGCTCCCGATGCGACGATAGAATTCAAAGCGAACGTGGATGATCCACTTTCCTCGTAAAATCTACGACATTGTTCATAATGCGGGCGCATATAATGTGACACGCTACGTATTCTCGAAAGCTGGTGGAACACGAGCGAAAGCTGGCGTACGAAGAATATATTTTCTTTTTCTTTTTTTATTCCCGTTTTTCTTCGTAGCTAGCACTTTTCTACGGGCATTTAATGCCGACGGAGACGAATGTGTGGTTTACTCACCTGGATGTACACGGCAACGCCGATCAGTTCGCTGAATATTACTGAACGTATGCTCTCTCTCTTACGAAGTGTAGCGAACGAAATTGGCCGACGAAGTGACCGGTGGCTCTGACGCGCGACCAAGATGGCTCGGCGAATACAACGGAAATGAAGGGATACGAGAGCGGGGCTCGCACGGCTGCGCGCAGAGACTCCGTGCGACAAGCCTCGCACCAGACGTCTACCGGAGTCAATGTCGCGACTGAAAGAACGATATCCGCGGAAAGATTTCTTTCCGTAAAATCGAGAAAGAGGTATAACAAATGTACATTCTGCAAAATAACGCTGCTTGAGAATTTCCAGCGGGCTTCTCCCTCTCTCTCGGAGAACACCTTCGTTTCGTGACACTTGACTTCCGCAAACAGAGATATCTCATTTCGATAAAATCGTTAGATTTTTACGAATATCCTCGTAGTATCTCCTGGGTGATTAATCGATGTTTATCAGTAAAGTGGGTTGCATCAGACAGTAATTGCAGGCACTTCCGGAGTGGTTTCGAGGCTAGAGTGCGCGAGTCGCGCATGAGCGGAAGTTCCATTCACAAGATAGCTGGTTCGAATCACACTCGTAACTTCCGACGACTTGGTAAGACGGAATGCGTTTTATGAGAAGAAAAAAATGGCATTTCTACGGAATTGCCTCGAATATCGAGGTGAGTCTTGAAATATTATCAATTTGAACAGAACTGAATGTTCCATCGATATATTATGGCCGCTCGGAGTCGTAATAATCGATCGAGGCGATAAAATGAATTTTTCGGGAAGCAAAATGACTTCTATCGAATTACTTTCGAAACACAAGTTTTGAAATATTACCAATTTTGTCGAGCAAGTATGTTGAATTGATGTTGTAGTTGAGACTTAATCATATGTGTATTTTTCCAAGTGGAAAATGACGTCAAGTGATGTTAAATTTTAACGACGTATTGTTGAGCCAGAGATGCCATTTGACGTCATCTTGCTAGTTGAATGGTGTATCGTTCTAACACGGTTAATAAATAAATAAATATATATTATCCTTCCCCCTCTCTTACTACAAAGTAATGCGTAATTATCATATTATAAGAGTTAGACAATATTATATGCGAAATCCCAATTCTTGCGTTAAAGTCAGTCTATTTTAATATATCTTGCAAAGCTACATTTTTAAGAAACACGAGACAATATCTGTATTTTACATCGGCGAGATACATGGAGATTGATCGCGCTGGCATGTGTTCTAAAGCTGTTTGATATTGGGGCATGATTCTCAAATTGTCGGTATTGAGGAGTATCCAGAAACGAGATCGCAAAGAAAGAGGCGCACAGGCGCGGCCAGCGCCACCTACTGAAAACAAAAATGGTAGCCAGCAATATGCCCTATCCCTGCCCTGCTTTAATGGCACGCCAAATGTCTGCGTTCTCTAGGCCCCTTTCTACTATGTATTCCCTTCCGACTGATATATCTAATTTCGCTGTGAACAGAGGGACTCGCATTGCCGCAGTAGACTCTGTTTCCCGTGCGAAATAAGTGGTACCCGCTTCTAACCAAAACAGAAGGTGAAAGCAAAACTATTGAAATATTTAACAGAATTATAACCGCACCAGCTCGATACGACGTGTCATTCGCCTTATATAATGAAATTAGCCGCACACGACCTCGCATGACAGTTTCTCGCCCGTAATATGTATTGTCCGTTGTTGAAAATGCAAAAAATTTCGAAGTATAATAGTAGGCCTTATGAAGAACATTTCTTGTAACTAGCTGTCGTGAAACGGGAATACGCACGTTTTATTTCGTTACATTAGTAGATCGTGACTGCTCGTACCTCGTGCAATATACATTTTTATCATTACTTTACATCTGCATCACAATTTGTATCTGTTGAGTTATCGTTCAGTGAGTTTCGTTGGATTTGTAGACTTTGGAGAGGTAGAACTTGCATTATTTGCTGACATATATATCTTAATGTACATATACTTGGTATCTTGATGAATTAAGTTGAGAAATTTGTCAGCATGCTGCAAAGAATTGAGTCTGTATTGATCTTTACCATTCTAATACCTGTGTATATGCTTAGAAACAAAAAAAAACTTTCCTTGACATAATGATTCTCTGGTGATATTTTATTTTTTGCTTATTATTATAGATTGTTGAATTTTGTGTAAAGTGGTAATGACCGATAGAGCAAACACAATGAAGTTGGAAGCTGAAATGGCTACACCGTTGCATCTGCAAAGATTAGAACGTAGCCTCAATATACAGCCTTTCTTGAGACAAATCAACGATCTCTTTCAAGAACAAGCTAGGTAATAATGTAGCTTTGATTAAATATCAGTATTGTCTTAATTTATGATGTACTAGTGGTGTATTTACAAATTAATATTATACAAAACATCACACATCATATTTTCATCTTTCAGTGAAGATGACAAGTCTGTTTCATCGGAATCTTCTGATGGATCAGATGCTTACATTGAAAATGTACTCACTCGAAAAGAAGGTTGGTATATACAATATAATTGTATTCTAATTTTATCTGAACGGCTTTTAGTATCAGTTTCTTTATATAATCTGTTACTCTTACAGAAGCAAGAATCAATAAACTAAGGGTATACAATATGTCAAGTGTGGGAGAGGAACGCCGATGGTTACAAGATATTCTATTAAGCGACTCCTCTGATAGTTCCGCATCTGGTTCTGATACAGATAACCCAATCACGGAAGACGATTTTCAAGAGATGTTGAAAGTCCATATTTTACGAAAAAAATATCAAGGCCGTTTCTATCAAAAACCAGAAGTAAGGTCATAATTAGATTAGTAAGTGAATATTAATGTGTTAATAAAAATTCCATATATATTATTGTCATTTTCAGAATATACAATACCAATACTATAGCGCGGGCTTATTGTCGAATTATGATAGATTTTTAGAGCATCAAAAGCTAATTGTAGGAAATAAAAAAAAGAAAGAAAAGAAGCCTGACAAAAAAATCATGAAAATTAAGAAGGAAAAAATTAATCGTCATCGAACATCCGAAGAGTATCATGTATATATCGAGCTTTATATTGCTCTTACATATTCATGTATTCTGTGCTTATTTGATTAAAAAAAATCATATTTATATTTTTAGAAAGGAGATTTTCCGGAAGGAGAATGGGATAAATCAATTCCAAGGGAGGAAGAGTTAGATGAGGCTGAATTAGAAGCCATAATGCGTCATCAGCCACGAGCTAGAGGGAGAAAGAAACATAATACCAAGAGCGTGGAAGTAATGACGATGAGAAGAAGAAAAATATGGGTCATGATGTCTAAGAAAGAACTGGGCAAAGTACAACGGGCAAAATCTAACAATCACAAGGAAATGCTAATAAGTTGTAAAAAGGTAGCACAGCATTGCATGAAATATTGGAGGCAGAAAGCTATGCAGGTGTGTATACTAGTTTAATGCTTATGTTGTATCGTTCTTGAGAATTCAGACTATAATAGCTTATACATATTATTTCTTTTTCTATTGTCATGATCCAGTCGCAGAAAAATATGAAGGAGACTATCTGGAGGGCCAAACGTTTGACAAGAGAAATGCAGTCTTATTGGAAACGTTACGATCGAGTTGAACGGGAAACTAGGAGAAGATTAGAAAAAGAAGCTGAGGAACAGCGTAAAATGGATGTAGAGCTTATTGAAGTAAGAGAATACACACCGAGTCGGTTTTTTTTCTACAATATCTCGTGAGAAGTACATTGTTGTGTTTGTTTCAGGCAAAACGTCAGCAAAGAAAATTAAATTTTCTCATCACTCAAACAGAGTTGTACGCTCATTTTATGTCACGAAAGTTGGGCAAAGCATCACCAGAGGAACAGTTGAGAATTCTGAATCAATTGGATGAAGAAAAGAATCCCAGACTTATTGGCATCGACGATTACGATAGGTACTTCAACTATTGATGTAGAATTTTATCTATGGAAGTTAACACATTTTTTAATAGCTATTGCGTGTAATCAAGGAGCATCGAGATTTTTCATTTTATTTAATGTGTAGTGAGGCCATGAAACTGAAAGCAAAGAAAAACGCTACTGAGGCGTTTGACAATGAGAAAGCCAGGACTAAGCAATTTGATACAGTTACCGCATCTCAAGAATTGCGTCTCAGCGACACACCTGACAATTTGGAACACCCTCAACCCTCAATTTTCAAAGGAAATTTGAAAGGTTATCAGTTAAAGGGAATGAATTGGTTGGCGAACTTGTACGATCAGGTTTGTAATTTACATATATACATTGATATTACTGAAATAGTGATATCTACATATTAAACATAATTTTTTTTTTATTACTTAATCACTTGTTTGCAGGGTATCAGTGGAATATTAGCTGATGAAATGGGTCTGGGAAAAACTGTGCAGTCTATAGCATTTTTGTGTCATGTCGCTGAGAGATATTGTATGTATCTTTAAAGAATAAATTTTGTTATTATATTATTATAAGTTGACATTGAATATGTGTTGTGTTCATCAAAGCTTTTTCCAAAAATAATTTGACGCCATAATTTGAAGCTTTAACCGGTTTTTTTTTTAGCTGTTTGGGGACCATTCCTAATTATATCACCCGCTTCGACACTGCATAACTGGCAACAGGAAATGGCAAGATTTGTACCGGTGTTCAAAGTGGTTCCGTATTGGGGTAACCCTCAAGAACGCAAAATACTCAGGCAATTTTGGGACACTAAAGATTTGCATACAAAAGAAGCATCTTTCCATGTAGTAATAACGAGCTATCAATTAATAATTACGGATTATAAATATTTTAATAGAATAAAATGGCAATACATGATTTTGGACGAAGCACAAGCTATAAAGAGCACAAGCAGGTATGATGTGATTGTATGTCTTTCCATTGTTGTGTGACAATTATACTGCAGCCGCTAACCGTAATATATTTAATAGTATGAGGTGGAAGCTGTTATTGGGATTCAGTTGCCGTAACAGATTATTGCTCAGTGGTACTCCTATACAAAATAGCATGGCAGAATTATGGGCATTGTTACATTTCATTATGCCGACTTTGTTTGATTCGCACGACGAATTTAACGAATGGTTCTCCAAAGATATCGAAAGTCACGCGGAAAATAAAACGGGCATAGACGAGAGTGAGTAATATATCATGTAAGACAATACATACACGCGCACACAAATGTATGTTCTTGATGCGTAGATCAATTAAAATACTCTATATCCCACGTTAGAACACTTATCAAGGCTACACATGATCCTGAAACCTTTCATGTTACGAAGAATAAAAAAGGACGTAGAAAATGAGCTATCTGATAAGATTGAAGTGATGGTATACTGTCCGCTTACGACGCGTCAAAAGTTGCTTTATTCAGGTAAAGTTTGTTTTCACGTATTATATATTAAATAAAATGACGTTAATACATTTCTATCGGTTGTAGCGTTGAAAAAGAAAATTAGGATAGAGGACTTATTGCATTACACGGTCGGTGGAGGGGACACTGCATCCAACGACAAAAATTTTACTTCCAATTTAATGAATCTAGTCATGCAGTTCCGAAAGGTACGTATTTTTATCGATATAACTAATTTCTTATGTATGATGTACCATCGATTTTACTTGTTATTGTGACAATCGTGCTTATGTACACTATAGCTTTCTAAAAAGCGAGTCTAATTACGTACGATTTTACAGGTCTGTAATCATCCAGAACTCTTCGAACGTAGGGACGCTAAATCGCCGTTTTTTATGAACACTGAATTGTATAATCTGCCCGTTTTGCTATATAACGAAGGACTTTTGCATCTAGCGTTACCATCTAAGGATCATTTGTTGTGTAACAAATTGTTCATATTCGCCGCGGAATATATTCATCGTGCTCTTCACTGTAACGAAGACTCGAGCGAAAATACATTTTCATTTAGTAGATTTATCAATTTATCCCCGATGGAGTTGAATAAGATTTTTATTGCTGGTACTTTATTTAGGTATGTAAATAAAAGCCTGTATGTTGAAAGAACACAATTGGTTCTTTGTATCAATTTTCATTAAGTACTTTTATGTATGTTTCAGATTATACTTAATAACGTTAATGGAGAGACGATTAAAAATGGTACAGTACTGGGATAATTGGTGCGTCGATAACAGATCGAGGACGCCCATGAATCAAATGTTTCATTTGCCTAAAAAGATCGAGGCTTTATCGGCGACGTCGCAGGATTTGTTATTCACGAGGAAGATAATCGAAGGCGAGGCTTTATACGTGCACACCGCCCATAAGATACATTCGATGCCGGAAACTGTTGCTCACAGAATACTGCGTAGCAGTAAGAAATCTGCTAATCAATTGCTGAAAGTAATTACGACTTATTTACGTTAAACACTTTGAAAGTTCGAAACATGCAAATAACGAATACACCGGTGTTTGAATATTTAGTTACAGAGAATACTTCCTGCTGGCAAAACGGAACAAGCGGAGGACTCAAAGTTAGCCTTGCTACCTGAGCATCCTCATCATCCGCGACAACCCATAATGCGATATTGCCAAGAGACTATGATTCCCGCCTTCGTTTGCGACAAAAATCCCAAGGTGACGACATTTCCTCGCGCAACATTCGTGCGTAAAATAAATAAACGAAGAATTATATATTTATTCCGAGCCGTTTCATTGTAGGTTCAAGCTAGTCCGCGTAAATTATACGTTAGTAATAGTTCCGCGGCATGTGCTTGGAGAAGGCACGAGGAATGCGGCGGATTATTCGGTCAGAAATTACTTTGGTTCGGCTGTGAACGGGCACTTTCTTTGTCGGAAGAAAATCCGGGTATACGTATCGGTCAAACAATGTCAACGTTTTGCTATCAACCGCTGGGCGGATTGTCCGCGTGTGCTCCTGTTAATGGATGGTCAAATATCATTGTGCCGGGTAAGTTAAATAATACATCTTGATGACAACACAACACGATGCTTAAATTACTGTCGGAACGCTTTATTGTATATGTTTCTTTATTTATCCATTAGTATATTGGCGAAAAGGTGAAATATAATTTTTAAATATAAACTAAATCATTTCAGATAAACAAACGTTAGTAACGGACGCTGGCAAGCTCTCTGTGTTAGACAGCCTCTTACGACGTCTGAAAGAACAAGGACACAGAGTGCTCATTTATTCTCAGATGACGAAAATGATCGATTTGCTGGAGGCACGTTTATTCGTTCCCATGCAAATAGCCACGCAATTTGTACATTTATTAATATTAATATAATATATAGATTTATTAATATAAATTTATTTTTCATAGGAATACATGTACCACAGGAAACACACCTTCATGAGGTTGGACGGTTCGTCGAAAATTTCGGATCGTCGGGACATGGTAGCAGATTTTCAGAAAAGGTAATTATGTTGTCTTTATCTATAATTCGTTGCATTCATCTTGCGCATTTCTGTCCAGCGAACTCTTCTGTCGTTGCAAACAGATTACGTGAAATTTCAACTTTATGTCAGTTGTTTGTTAATGAAAATATATTATTCATAATAATATTAATAACCCGGTTGCCGTGCTGATTAGAATATCTATCATCCTCTAACAGTATCCAGTTGCATACTTAAAGCGCGATTCTGAGATCGCATGTCCTATGTGGTTCAGCCGCGCATAACTAACATGCGAATTAATTGGCGAATCGTCCCCTTCTTGCAGACAGCTGCAGCTTTTTGAATGCACGACCACAAACTTGAACCTCTAACGGTGGGCTATTATTAGGCAAAACTGCATTGGTCGTTATACCAGTCTGCCAAAATTCTGTTCATATTTTTTCTCAAATATGTAAACAAACTTATTCCTTTGCATTGCGTTAGCGTATAATTTTCCTTTTATTTTTTCGTAATTTATTAATTTCTTATTTAATGAAAGTACGTTTTCATAAGAATACATTGTGATTTAATTTTATAATTTTGAAATGGATGAAGAAACAATGAACACAAATGAGAGAATACTATGTCGTTTAAGCTCCCGAAATCTTAAACACGATCAGATCGCGAGCGTTGGGTGAGGATTTCACTCTGGAAATCCTTCAAAAGCCGGCAGTTCGAATTAATTTACATACAAAACGACCGATGTCGTTGTTCCTCGGCATGGTTGTTAAATTCGCGTTTCGTGTTTCAGAGCGGACATATTCGTCTTTCTGCTTAGCACTAGAGCTGGCGGCCTGGGAATCAACCTTACCGCAGCAGACACGGTAAGTAATTCTATCTTTTAATCCATTCTTTATATATTCACACATGGGAACGTTATATAAATATGACTACGTGTGAAAACTAAAATTAAACCACACATTGTACACATTTATAAAATTTATATACTTATTAAATTGATCAACATCATAGGCATGCAAAGAGTGGTTCGAATTACTTATAGAAATTATATTCACGCTCAATATTGATAAAGTTTGCGACTTAATTCCGCGTTAAAGCGTTTACAACTAAATTAAGTATTTACGTGTTTGTCGTAAAACACTTATATGGATTATCAAACATTGAGACGCGCATTTATAATGGCTGTGAGAAGAGCGTGCATTAATTTATCTCGCATGCAAGGACTATCGCGATGATCCACACTTGCTCATGCATCGACGGTTACATGTTACTAGTTTTTTTATGTACATTGAAACTGCAACCTTAACGAAACTTACAGGTCATATTTTACGACAGCGATTGGAATCCCACCGTAGATCAACAAGCTATGGATCGCGCCCACAGACTGGGGCAGACCAAGCAAGTCACGGTCTACCGATTAATATGTAAAGGAACTATCGAGGAGCGAATTCTACAGAGAGCACGCGAGAAAAGCGAGGTTTGTTTTATAAACCGATGACCATTGAATAGTTGCATATAATTAAGTCATGCGCGAATATGAGGCTATCGTACGTTACAGATTCAACGCATGGTCATAAGCGGCGGAAACTTCAAACCTGATACTCTGAAGCCCAAGGAAGTGGTCTCGCTTCTATTGGATGACGAAGAAATCGAAGCTAAATGTAAGTAAAAAATCACATAAATCTGCCAATTTAGCACTGGATTAACTCTTTGTTGAATTAGAATCCACTCGAACTAAACTAAAAAGTTAATTTGAAAAATATAATGTTAAAAGAACTGTGAAATATTGAACTTTGCTCATAGTTATCTTAAATGTTCTTGTTCTAAAATATATTTATAATTTTTTAAATATTATATCTAACATTTATAGTCAAATGCGTTTAAAACTCGCGTATTTTATAAATTATTTATTACGTGTTGGAGCCATGGCACATAGAAAAACTTAAAAAGTGAGACGTAAGCAGTAAAAAAAGTATATTCAAGATTATTAAGTCTGTTTTTTATCACTGAATTAATGTACACTTTCGGGACTTAGAAAGAAATTTAGAAAGAAAGATATCTAACTGTGACTATGTAAAAAAGGAGGAAATAGAACTAATGTAAACTAGTGCAGTTTAGCTGTAAAGAACAGACTTATTATGTTACTAAATTTCTAAGTTTGTGTTGTGCTTCTAAATAATATAAGCTACCTTCCCTGCAATCCCTGCTTCCAAATGTTAAAATTTAAGATATTGGTTGTGGAAAATTTTCCATTGTAAGACGCGTAAAAGTCAGGAAATCTCAAAATTCATTTTCTGTGAATACATATCTTTGACAAACAGATAAATACAATTAGTCAATGAATTAAAGGCCTGGAGCAGCCTGTGTATCGTTCGATAAGTCAAATATTTTATTTATCGGGAGGACGTTGGATCGTCGAGTTTACACTCGCCACAACGCTATCGAGCGCTCTATCGTATTCGCATGGCGGGATGCGCGTGTATGCACAAACGCGTCGAAAATATGAGCGAGCGGGAGGGGGCGGCCGAGGTGGCCGCGATTACATTATGCTCGTTAGGTTATGCTAATGGCCTAATGAGGAATAATAATAAGAAACAGAGTAACGAACTTGCGTCCCCGTGTACAAGCCCACGTCCGTATATTTCAGACAGCCAACGAAGCGAGGAGAGAAAGCAGCAGCGAGCGGAGGAGGCTCGCCTCGAGTCGAACCTACAGCACAAGGAGAAGGACCGGAAGAGGAAGTTAACCGCGCTTCCGGTCAAGGTGAGCCCGGCGCCCTTACACACCGCTATCGGTCGCGTCGCGAAGATTTCTTTTTCGTTGTTTTCTCGCTTAACCACCGCTCCTTCGTTCCCACCTATTACCGCTCCTGTTTCTCGTTCCCCTTAATATCACGTTATCGGCTCGCAGCTGAATTTACCCGGAATCGTTGATTATCGTGCCGGGGAATTAATTCGACTCGCTGAGCTCACGATCAGCCGATAAATTGTCTGAAAATGTTTCGTTCCCGGTGCGAGTCGAAATTGAGAGCCATTAATTGAGTCTTACGTTTAATTATGACGGAACGGTTTAGACCACGATTATATTTCTCGCTCGTTTCGATTGTGTACTTTTCACCGCAACCTTTATTTTTTAGAGCGACGCGAAGAAGCTGTGCCTCGTCGACGCTAATGGCGACAAAAACAACGATGCTGTTCAAGTTAATGTTAATGAGCCCAAACCGATCGCCAATCCGATTCAGTCACAGCACCAGAACAATCATCATCAGCAGCAGTTAGAAAATGCGGATAATTATAGCACGCCGACCAGCCCGGCCAAGTCTGAGGTATAAAACTGCAACGATGTTATTATTTGCTTGTCGTTCTTGTTATATCAATATCGTTCATTTCTAGAACTCTTATTATACATCTATTATTGTTATTTGTATTTTCTTTTATTTCCGGAGAACAAGTAAGTTTCAAGAGAGATTCACGATCTATTATTTATTTATTTATTCCGGAAACACACAATTTACACGTGATAACAGTGTGCGACCCTTAACACAATTCGAGAAACAAGTCTCTGATCTCTGCGGCGATTTCTCTTTGTTGCAGGACGAGACAAGCAACGAGGGTCTGGTGGTCGACGTGGACGGCCCGGTGGCGGTTTCCGGCGGCGACGCTCGCCAAGTTCGAGGCAATGCTCAGTTTGGCGAACCGTCCAAGGTCGCTCGACTCGGTCATCACTTCGCTTTTGGTGTGAATGCCGGCGCACGTATGCGACAATCTGTACGCGGCGCTAGCAAACGCGGTAGGCCGCGAGGCTCTCGTAGAGGAGGCCCAATCGGCGGTAAAGGCAGAGGTGCGCTTCTCTCACATCTGCCGTCCAAATCCTGCAACGCGGTAGGCAGTCAGTCTCCATCTTCTTTGTCGCCGACCGGTGGTGGCAATGGTGCTGGCTCTTCTAGCGAACAGACGGCGCAGCAGGGTGAGTACTCGTTTTCTTGTGATCGCGGTGTATATCTATATTGTCGCAAATTTGGCAATAAATCTATCGATAAGTGTCAAGAGAAATAGCAAAGGACATCCGTCGAAATGGTCAGAGATTTTAACGCAATGACAATTTTAATATAATAGATATAGTCTGCCTAATAAGAGCATGACAGGACTTTTAAACGGTGTTTATCACAAGAAAAAATTACATAGATACTACATAATCAGTACTACAACGCTTTTAACAAGTCATTCAATTATCGCAGTTGTCAATTATTGCCTGACATTTTCCAGGCATACTTTCCGCCTAATTTTACAGCATACTCTCGAAATAAAGGTCGCCGTATTGAAAATAAATAAAAACAAAATTATTACAGTTTCTTAATTTCGTGAAGATATAAAGTCATCAATCTTATATTTCTTCATCAAGACGTTTCGATCCTAAGAAGAGAGTCTGTAAATTAGAACCGAAACGTCCGGGCGAAAAAATATAGAATAATGATTTTATGTCTTCACGAAGTTGACACAAAACTGTAATTGTTTTATTTTTATTGCACTAGAGAGAAATCGCCTGTGACAGGCTTTTATCGATCGTTGTTCTATTCAAATTGACAGCAGTAATTGACTTAGTCAGTCAATATTATTATTTTGCAATAAATATTTGTTCTTGGATATTTATGATTACGAGCGTGAATTCAGGTTCGAGATTTATTGCTACGATAAGTGAATAGTAATCGAGTCCAATGTCTATCGAGCTATCGTAAACAAGACTCAAGTTGCTGATACCTTATCTGATAAATAACTACCCACATGTATGAATTTATGGTAAACTCTATGCGCTCTTACATAACTACAATTTGATAAATAATACATTCATTTCGTATAGGCGAATATATATGATTAGCAATTATTTATGAATGCGTTACGCGCGCATTGAATATAATTTATAATTATTTATAAATGTGTTACGCATATGACGGTGTAATTCGTATAAATATTGATCAACAACTGCGATTATATAATTCGTCTTATCGGGGTCGTACACGTTTATAACGTATGCGTCTGTGCAATTATCGGTCTGCCCGTAATCGCTCGCTTTTGACTCTATCGAGCCCGATTGTTATCAGGTAGGATTATCAGCAATGCGCGAAAATGTCCGTAATTAGTATCGCCGTAACAGAATGTCGCACGCGCGCGTTTCGGTCAACGCGTGGATTTCGCCGATTTTTAGAGAGAGATATCGTGTCAGAGCAAGAACGTGATTCCGTCGAAGCGCGACGAAATCGGGATTTGCACGCTGATCGACGAGGATGGTCGATTCGAAAGGAGAAAAATGTCCTTCTTTCGCGCGCCTCGCCGTCCAATCGATACGCTGTTAATCCCGCGGCCGGCTCTTTTATACGTCGGTCCCCCTTGGCGCTATCGCTACCGGGTGTTATCCTTCGCCGGGGCACTTGCCCAAGTTCTCATGGGATTTCGCGGTACGGAAGAAGAAGAACGCCTATCGCGACCCCATTCGCCGGCATGAGCTGAAATTCCCTCGCGAGCACATGTGCACCCGATTGTCCGGAGGGGGCTAACAGTTGGCACTCCTCCACGGGGCACCACGGGGGCACCCTCGGAGACACCCATCCCCCTTTGAAATTTCTCATGACTCATTCTGCTGCGACTCGTCCTGATCGGGCGCGAAATCCAGCGGCGAGGGAGTAAGGGGGAAAGTTGACCGAAGCGTTTGTCACAAGTACGGGGGCAAATGTATTTTCATGATACTGGGTGTCTCGGGAAAGGAAGGGGATCTGCCAGTCATTGGAAATGGGTTAATCGAGCAATATTAAAGCAAAAAAATACAATTCACGACATTTTCGGCGTTGGCGAAAAAAGAAGGAGACGAAACTTTCTCTCGCAATAATAGATGTGGGCGACAACGGTGTTGTCCACGGTCCCTTATTTATTTCTTACTGGCTCCTGGTCTTGGTGCTACCGGTTTATATTATGAACGTGACCGTACGACCGTCACGGCTATGTCCCATCGTTTAAGCAATTCGGGTGCGAAACTTTCAGACCTGCACCAGTTGTTGGTTTTCTCCGCAGAATGAGCCTGCGACATAATGAGGCTGCTCGGACGCGAAGCGAGAACATCAAAACTCGATTCTCGACCCCGCGCCGAATGCCAAACTCGACGGATGTCCAAATAGTATTGACCAGCGCTCTTTCATCTTGCTAATTAGAAGTAGAGACGGGTCCGATAAAACGACCTCACGCAATGCCACGTGGATACAGAATGAATACCACACACGCGCGCGATGTGAAACTATGCGTCCATTCTCGTGCTACGAAAGAAAAGGGGTCGGTCTTTCTCACTTGTCGTCGACTGGAAGGCGAACGGACAATAGCAGGTGCGGAGCGAAGGCGACAGCTGCGATCGATGCTCTTCTTAGGTTTTTGGAACTCGCGTAGCCCCCCTCTTCCCGCTCCCTTTCTCTCTTTCTCTCTTCTTTTTTCATCTTCTCTTATTCTTTCTCTCTCTTCCTTCGTCTCCTCCTTCATCACCGTCTTTTTGCGCGTTTTCTCCGCTCCTGCTTCGTCCTCTCTTCTCCATTAGTTATCTCTTTATCGAGATACGGCGCTTGATCCAGCTGTCAATGTACCGGAGACTCTCACCGAGTCTCTCACCGGCATAATCCCCGCTGATTATAAGTTTGCGATCGCGTTTGCTAACTACGCCCCGTAAACGGGTGATTGCGGTGAAATAATAGGGGTAAATCAAGGACCTGTACAGTTGGACGCGCTCAAATTGATATTTGATGATAATTGCACCTTTTCGAGAATATTTTTTTCGGGGATCTTGAACTTTCTTTATTCAAATTATGTTACCTTCCAATTAAAAATCTATATTCGATATGGAACGGATGTTTTAAAAATTTAAGTCGAGATTGCGTTAAATGCAACTTAACATTTCTTTAAATATTTTTCATTAGTGATAAATTTAAATACGCACATTAAAACTGATTTATATTAAATTGTTGCATAACGCACAATTATATGCGTCTATTGCAAATGACTATTTTCTCGTGCAAGTTACGAGTTGTTTGATTTAGCAACGTCTCCCACGATGCGACCGTAATATACGTTTCAGTTTTCAGTTTCAGTTGTATAATCCCGACATCTAATTTCCCCCGTCGTTTCACGAGGTCGAATAAAAAAAAGAGACAGATTGTAGGGTAGGAAGAATTACGCGAGCCCCGTAAGGGGTTGAGTGTTGTCGATTCGTGCCGTACCTTACCGTACCTCACTGTGTCATCTCGTCCGTCGACTCCGCACCCTCTCGAATATCATATTTTCATACCGTTGCACAGAAAACGATCTCTCGAATGACGTAACGTCCAACATACATCTTCCCCCGTGATTTATCCTATTATTATAATTTCCGAACTCATATTTAGTGTATAATTGCAATGATTAATGTCGTCGTTTACATACGGTACTTTTGACTAATTTTGAAATTAGCGTCACGGTAAGCTTTCTTGGACTTTTGACGGTTTTTTGTATTTATTTTTTTGTATTTGACGGTTATTTGTATTTCTTTCCAAAATACCTTCAGATAGGCACAATTTTGATATTTTCTGTGCGCTAAATAAAAGTGAAAATTATTAAAAGATTTTTCACCGGATAATATCGCTTTTTAGCACAATAATATGTCATTATATCATTGTAAATTTTACATCAACATTTATATAATTAACGTTGTTATCAAGAGAAGCTTGTAACTAATAGATATGCTTATCCGGAGTTAATGGGTGGAAAATGGTCTCGTAAGATCCGTAATCCTGTTAAGTAATGCGATTATCTCGTTTTTGATCCTGAAGTTCCTTTGGAGCCTAAGTATTCGAGACTAACCTAACCCGAGATAGGAGATAAAATATGGCGGTAGAGATGCTTCGGCCGTAGGGTGAGATACAGTAGGATAATGCGATGGGATAGGAAGAGACGAGGATATAGCGAGCCGGATCGTCGACATTCCGCGAGTCTTCCAATCACCTCGAAAGTTTTACCTTTGCTCCCAGCATCGAGTTCTCATCAACACGCATTCGTTAACCGAACGCATACAATTACGGTACAGTTTATTCGAATCGATCGCAATGCAAATTGTAAATTAATTCATAAAAATTTGCGTTTGTGAATTAACCAAGAGGCGAATTAGGTCCCGAGAGTTTGATTACACAAAGGCATATCGTAACGGCTAATTCGTTTGTGTTAACACGAGGATACAAGTTGAGTCTCCGGCTTTATTGCGGTTTCTCACGCAATTTCGCGATTCTCCAGTAGATTTTGCACCGTCGAAGGAAATGTGACTTATCTCGAAATTTTACGATTTTATAAGAATATGTTTTATTATGTATTTTACACGAATTTTAATATATGAATTTGCATGAATTTTAATATATTTATATAAAGCAATACTTTATAAAAAAAAAACAATATTTTTTTTAACTTCGTAAGATGTTTTTTTTTTGTAAAAAGACACTTGAATACCTGTTGTTTCCGTGCTTAACAATTGAGATAGGAGAACGCTCGGACTTCGAACTACATTATGCATAGCAATAATGAAGATAAAAAACGCCTTTTTGACTTTTCCCTTTTTGATTCCACAATACGATTCATGGTCAGAATTTCTAGAGCATATTACCGCGCGACGGGTGAGAACTGTCGGCTTAACGGAATTTTGTAAAAAGGCACGTTTTGGGATTCGCATCCCTCGGCCATTTAAGTATCCTCTTCTCCTTGTAGGATGCCCGAACAGTAGCTCTTCACACGTAATCGGCTACGTGACGCAGAATGCCGACGAGATCGTGATGGGGGGAAGGGGCCTAGCTACCGGCAAAATACATTTAAGGGAACATTGATTTTCGCATGTTGTATTGTCGACTGTCGGAAAAAAGCCCTGTCTCAACGAACATCTCTTTCCATGCTCGTAAACTTTCTCGACATGACTCTCGAAAAACCAAATGAGATTTATCAACTGACAACTACATCAGATAAAACCAGGGTTAGCACAGACCTAGGAAAACGGGAAAACCGGAAAGCCGTGGAAATTTACAATGTCAGGGAAAACCTGGAAAAGTCAGGGAAAGATATAAAGAAATCTGGTATTCTGAATTTTGCTAACAAAATTCCCTTAAATATTTTCAACTGAATTCTTTTTTCCAATACTCACTTATTTTTGTTGATCTGAATTTGCATTCAGGATTATATTATTAAATTTCTAAGTTTGTGTTGCTTCTAATAATATATAAGATACCTCTTTCGTGCAATTCTCTGCTTCTAAACATTACAATTTAAGATTATACATTGCTCATGAAAAATTCTCCATCGCCGTTTGGAAAATATGGAAAGGGAATTTCAAAATTCATCTTCTGTGGCAACCCTGATGAAAAGTCAAGAAAATTTTATCAGTCTTGTTATTGAAGGAAATATTTGTGTGATATTTAAATATCAGCTGACATTCTATTCTAGGCAATTGCTCTTATCAGAAAATATAGAAATTCCAAGAATATCGCTTTTAAAATAATCGTTATCGCGGAGAACTTTTCATCATTTCTCCTCGCGCGATTCGGCACGTGAGATGACATATCGAGTGCATAATTTGACTTCTTCGCCTGGTATTTGGGTGATAATTATGGGCGTTTCCCCGCTCGTTTAACACTCTTCGTATTCGGCAAGCCCCGGTGTGTGTCTTCTCTCATCTTCGGCCACGTCGCGAAACCACGGTGAATAACCGATTAAACTGGTCGGACCAGTCGACGTTAAACTCGGTATCGTACTGCGCTCTCGCGTCGTAATCGCGAAAGTTACAATTACGCCCACGTCCGCCGTCGGCGTCCGATCATCGCAATTAGCATCGTCGTTGTCACGGGGAACGTTAAATTCCGCCTGCCGCGTATATAACTCGAAATGGAAGTGCTAGATTTCGCGCGAGTCCGAGAAGATCTCCCCCAATGAGGATGATTTCAATTTCACGACGTGCTTTCGCTTTACACACGAAATAAGCGACGCCAAGCGTCGAATGTACAGTCGACGTCGACATGCAAGTTTTTGCCAGGCTCCTAGAAACGAGGGGCATTTTACGTTTTAGGAGGGCACACTACCACCGGTCCAGCCGACGGCGACGGCCCCAGCACGGTAGGTCCTTTAGGTCCTCTGAGTACTCTGACTCCTTTATCCGGACGTGGCAACATCGCGGGGATTCGCAGAGGCCCCGGAAGACCGAGACTGCGACCTACCGGACCCGGACACCAAGGTTACCGCAATCCCGGACATCATCACCATGGTAAGAAAGTCCAACGATCGTTACCGGTGCCGATCAGGTCCCAGCAAACAATCGCCGGTCATCAGCACAAGGCGGCTCCGCAGCAGCAACGTCCCAGCATCTCGACGCCCGGCTCTTCGTCGTCATCGTCGTCATCGTCTTCGTCGTCCTCATCGTCATCGTCGTCGGTCCCCGTCACCACCGCGAACTCAACGCAGCTGTTGACTGTCGCGTCGTCCTCAACGGAAGGGCGACCCTTCGGCTTCTACACGCAGCAACAGCAGCCACGTGGGCCGTCGTAGTCGCGCGAAACGTGAGATCGGTCACCCGCCCGAATGACGCGACTTCGACGAGACTCTTGTTCTCCGTTTCTTCTTTCCGACCGCGATAACCGATCCACGGATCGACAGGACTGTGTGTGAGAGCAGACACGATGTTTCCTTTACGAAGAAAGAAATTGTGTGCGCTGTATCGATGTTCCGACAGACTCGATTAAGATTATCGGTGGTCTTTGGCAGAACGGAACGCTTAGAAAGCGATCGTGGCAAGTTACTCGAGGATCCGGGGATTCGTCGTGGAATTATTTATGATTGGTATCGGAAACGCGAGTTTCGGAGGTTGGTAGAAAGTTCCCGATCGCGATTTTGTCCCCCCTTTCTCCGGATGTCATGAATCTCTTTCGTGATCGATCAGTCGTCACCACGTGACAAAACACACGGTAGCGGTTTTCTCCAGTCTCGGCGTGAGATACCATTGTAGATTGCTTCCGATCAGTTTCTCTTGCTTGAGAACTTGTTAAACGGGAAGTTTTATTACGAATATCCGAAACAATCATTTTTCCATTGTGAGAAGGACGATGCGATTGGAGATTTTTTCGTTCGGTAACGTATCCTCGGTATATATTTTTACATACACTGAAAAAGATTCAAATAAATAACTATTCCAATATTCCTTAGCAAATTTTTATCTGGCTTAAGTAAATTTTACTTGAATCAAGTAAATATTTCATTTGAATAATTTATCTAGATCAAATAAACACATAGATATTTATTTAGATCAAATAAACACTACTTGGCCCAAATAAAAATTTGATGACGAGTACCGGAATAATTATTTATTTGAATCTAGCACTTTTTTTCTGTATACATTTTAATCGAGATCTAAAACGCGCACCATCTCTCGGATCCTCGAATTGCCATCAGTCGTACTCTGAGCGCTTCACGTTTCGTCGAACGCGATCGTCATGTATTTGTCGTATTGTAAATTTGACTTCCGTCGATAGACGTTTTTATCATTCGTCCCTGCTATCCCCTCATTCACTCCTATCTGATCATCATAATTGTATGTAAAGGAAAAGCGAGCGCTGACAATATCTAGGTACTTGTACGTTCACGATAGCATACAAGTGTATTTATTTCGTTTATTTATGGCGTGTAGGAGCAGAAATAAGGGAGAAGGTTCGTTGAACGTTAGAGAGTACGATCGTAGTCATCGACATTCACCAAGTACTTAATGAATTCCCACACTCGTCTCCGGACCCTTTCTCGTCTCTTTTCGATTCGTCTCCTCAGTTCCTCGCGAACGTAATTTTGCGCGCACACTCTGATTCAATTCAATTAAACACGCGAGTCGAGATTTTCTCATCGGACGCCGATCGTCCGCTGCATAAATGAAAAGTAATTGGTAGATCGATTCCGTACGTGATGTACTCTTGATTTTATTCTAATTATACAATTAGCTAATCGACATTAAAATCAATTGATCGTTTCGCGAGCGCCGAATTCTTACGGCAAATTCATTGACAAAAAGGCTAACCCGAAAGAGGAGGGAAAGTATCGTCTCCCTCTCCCTTCCCCCTCTGCCATCAATCGCTCTCTCGGCGTCATTGTACATTGTCACTAACGATAGCATTATTCCATCATTAGACTCGGCTAGCCGATATTTTTTAAGTATGTTATGAAACGTCGTTAGGCCAATTCAATTTGTAAGAGAATAGTATTTATATTAGCAATAAACAGGCAGAAATTCAACCTCTACAGATTTGTCTCGCAAGTTCTTCCGCGCATTTTACACATTTCCCGCGGAAAATGAATCCTTCTCATCATCGCTTCCTCTCTTCACGGATTCTTCGATCGATTCGTGTCTAAGTACGAGTATTCCTTTAATCGAGCTTCACGTTATAATGACGTCGTTCAAGTCACCAACTCGTTCAATTTAACTCGATTTAACTTGATTCAAATGAAGATTTATTCTCACACATTGGGAATAAAATTTAGCTTTTTGTCCATTATCATCCTGCAGTTTGATTCTCAGATATTTTCAGTTTTTCAGTAATGATACGACTTGTCGAGACGGTCTTCTGGAAAAATATTCTCCATGTTGTCACGATAAAGTAGCCGTGGATAATGAATGTAACCTTGGAAAACATCTTGTACGATCTAATTTCTATCTCGCATTCTCTTCCTTTCCTGTCTCTGTCATCCTCGATTCTCCGTGGAACATGCAAACGATCGTCCGGTCGAACAAGCGCAGCATCGAAGGACGTGGATTCTGTGCGATAATGGCTGATCAACGAAGCGACGTCCGAAAGCTGGAAGTGCCGGTTAATGGCGTGAGTATGCAGCTGTCGGTGGATCCGCGTCATCATCTGCGTGATTGGGATCAAACCGAGCGCAAAGAATCCTTCGTGCCTCAATGCCTCTCTATCTGATGGTGACCAACAATTCGGCGCGTAGTACATTTTTCGAATTAATTAGCTAATAACCCCTTCCTGTCGTAAGTTAATTAGAAGTTGTTCGATTTACAACAGTTGTCGCCGAAATCTTGCGAAAAAATGTGAGGTTACATGATGATGGCAAACTCACTGTTTGATTTAACGATACCATGTAATATTGTGTAGGATTCGATTACGGAAACGATATAGTAAGACTGATTTGATTAATTTGATAGAATTTAATTAATTAAATTAATTTATAGAAAAGATTGGTTTGATGAATTCGACGTCATACACAAGGTGTTTTATCTCGATATTAAAATAAGTCACTTTGTAATACATATAGCGTGACTTGATTCCCACATAGAATCGATTTAATTAAATGTTAATGATTTCATTCCCGTTTGGATGATTTATATTTTAATCATTTTATTTTGACTCGGTGTTTTGCTCCCTCCGTTACATACAAATGAATGAATATAATTTAACTCGTGGCGTTCTCGTGCCGCCGGTGTATCGTCAACAAAAATAACAAGCACACGAAGTGAGCACCTGAGAACTTCAAAATAATGTGTACTGGTTTATCAACATAATTACAGCGGTTGTATAATTGTGATGGTCGCATTGTAGCTTGCATCAAGGTCGTATCTCGTCAAGGTCGCTATAACGACTATAACAACCATCATTTAATGGTGTCTGAAAAATCGGGTAAGTAACCAATGTGAGGCATAAAACGTAAGCAGGAAAAAGAAGAGAACTCAGCAAAAGTGGCAAGCAAGAGCTGCGTCCCTTCTTTCCTCGCTACTAGTGAGGTATATCAGGTATGTATTGTCTTGTCGAAAGATCGCCCTTACGTGCAAATACGTGACACTAAGAAAAAAAATTCATTTATTTATGAACAATATGACCTATTATGACAACACTCAGTAATTAAGTCTGGATTTTTACTACTTGGTTAACTTGTACTTTAGACTTCAACTGACGATGATAAAAAAAATTGTGTTTTTCTATTCGTGGTTAATCATTAAATTGATGGTTTTGCAGTGGTAACTTTTAAAATTCATGTAGTGGTAACTTTAAAGTTTAATGATTAATTATGAATAGAAAAATATAATTTTTACATTATCTTCAGGTTAAGCCTAAATCAGAAAATGAAACACCGGGTCTTAATTTAAATAAACTGACGCAAAAACTAAATGCTCGTCTGTGATAAGAGATTTTTCGAGCCGTTGAAATAAAATTCCCAAAAGTGTTCTTCTTGGCGAGTTACTTTTGTTCCCTCGCGTTTATTTTTGTCGGTAAATGAGGAAGAATATCTCGAAGACATAATACGCCCTCGAATAACACTTTGGAATGGCACTATTGAAAAACGAGTCATTAAATGTTCGGCCTTTATACAAGTACGGTCACTGGCTGTACATCGACCGGCCGCGTCCTGCGCGCACGCTGCCGCATGAGAGAAGAGCAGCCGAGAGGACCGAGACCTTGCGCTGCACCTGCTACTCTCAGGTGTACGCGAGCGCGCCTTTTATCCGCGCGATCAGTGCATCTCTTTTCTTCTCGTCCTTTTGTACGAGCCGTACGAATGAGAACGCCGTCGTGCGGCCGCTTCTTGGGGCTTGCGATTAATCGCCGTGCGCTCGATAATTTTCGGCTAATTATTTCGATGAACCGCGGTCGAGCGAATCATTCTAAAAATAGACGCGGTCCGCGCGAAAATCGAGATACTTCGGAGCGACGAGATTTCGTCCACTGTATGCGATCGTTATTCGGAAGTGGAATACAACGGGAAAAGATGTCTGAATTTTCAACTCAGGATTTTGGAAACTTAGAGTCGATTATCTCATGAGACGTCAAAATATATTCTCGTTTCGATTCTGTGTTATTAAGAAAATTCCAAATTTCAATAGCATTGAAATGATTCAGATAGAATCTGGACGCTCGATGTAACACAGCCATTTGCACAAAGAAATTTCCGAAATCAGTACTTTTCGAGAGAGAGAGAGAGAGAGAGGGGAGGAGAGAGTACGAACTGCTCGTATCGATCGCGCGGATATGACAGCCATAACGATGATCATATCGGAGTACCGCGTGTCGTTTTAAATAATACGTCTGTGTGGTTAATTAACTCTGAAGCAGCAATGAGATCGATACGCGATCGGGGGACAAATCGTAACTTGAACTTGACAATCGCAGGTGCCAGTCGCCTCTGCGAAACGAGTTCTCCCAAGGTCATTGTCAATCACGTCGCACTTCCGGTTGACATCTTTCGTTCCGGGATGGGTCTAAATAAGACCGTAATTTTTTCGCGCCGAAAGGATTTCCTCTCGCGAATTACTCTCCGTTTCACTCCTCGAATTGCGTTCGCACGTGAGAGAAGGAAATGTCGATCGCGAGAGAACGCCGTGGTGACGGTAATTCCTCGTTAAAATTAATTCGTTCGGTGCATCGTCGATCGAGTGGGCGCGACGTACCTGTTGGGGAGGGGAATCAACAGGTAAACCGCAGCATAGCGTCCCTCCGTTTGACGACATCAATTTACCCAATTAGTGTCAATTATTTCGACTTCGCCTCGTGAATTTATGATATTAAGCGAGCGCGACCGGTGTTTCTTGCTGATGGTTAACGCGTGTCGCTGATGTAATACGTGTCGCACGACGAGCGGGTCATCGATTATCGCGGGATTCTAGTTTTGTGCCCGGCTTCGATTCCACCATCGTTATTTATCGGATTTACTTTTTATCCTTTAAATTTCCGTCCCCGACGTTATTTACGACCCCGCCCGGTGTTCCATCGTGTGCGACCAATCGTAATTCTTCGGAGCACAATTCCCGCTCTTTGTCGGTTTCCGGAGCGTTTTATCGCGCACGCAAATTCGCGCGGCGAAATTATCGGCGCTCTCAGCCCGACGGTGGGATAATGTGATGGCGTGGGTTGGTTATTAGCAAAAGCATAATTGCAATTACTATGACGAGCATAGGGCGCGTTATTCCTGCTGTCTTCTTTCGATCGCATCGGCGCGCAGTCGGCCGTGCGAGCGAACGCTCGTTCTTCAGCATCGTCGTCTATGCCAATTAGGCAGCCGGCGGCTGCTCGCCACGAAATTAAAGCTCTTATTTCGCCGTGCGAACGCACGAAATTAGCGAGGCGAAACGGCGGGCCTCCCTCTCGCACATTCGGCCGCTAAACAGAACTGGGTTTGCGGAAAGGGCACAAATTTAAGAGCCGGCACCGGCGTCGAGGTTAGCGCTTAC